GACAATTTTTTTTCTGACTGTACGCTAACTAGTCTAGACACGACAAGAGACTACTGCATCGTCCGGCGAATTGCGCTGCTAGCTACTGCGCAACAAGAAGGCGTGACATTATTCAACAATTCCCATCTCTTTCTACACTTGACGAGCTGTACTCAAAAATGGCGATAACTCAAAAACGGTGCACAATCTGATAAGGACATAATGTAGTTTTCTAAATAGAAATGAAACCCTATATCTTCCCCTTTCATTTGATTATGGCTTCGGCGCACCCTGTATATTTATTTCTATTTGAACTCTTTAATCCTTAAAGGATGCTTCGCAGACTGAATTGAAGCTCTTTTTTCATCGAGTCTCTTACGTGACGGTCGTAGCGCGATATCTCCTCGTACTCGTATAGGCAATCGAAATTCAGTTAACAATATATTTCGTGTTGTTTAATTTTAAACAAAATTACAACCGATGGCTCGGCGGAGTGATATCAGATCATTCACAGTTATCGAAGTTTATTCTTTAATTGAGATTTTCATGCGCAGTGCGCCGTGCCTCCGGGCAATCTGAAAGATAATCCGAGCGAGGAACCTTGTCAAGATGAACAGGCTGTTAAACAGCTTCACGGATTTGTGGTGTTGTTTATAAATATTATTCATTAAACAATGACATCCGACAAAAAGGGAATCTATGAAGAACGCATATATTTCACAATGAGAGTGCACAGGATCCTCGCCGGGGCCACTATTGTGTAATATATTAACCGCAGGTGATCTGAAACTAATGGTGCTTGAAACTCTAGACAATATTGCGGAAATTCGAGGTTTATGTAAGACTTTTGTAAATTTCAGCAAAATATTGTGTCTATGGCGTCCTCATAACATTAAACTCTTCCTCACAAACTGAACTACGTCTTTAGAGATGAGATACACGTGTGACGGCGGCATTTTCCTAACGCTTTCCCATGAGGCTGACTGGGAGAGTAACTTTTATATCCGTGAATATGGTTTCTCGAAGGATATAGGTCGAATCCGCGATGAAGGTATACTCAAATGCCACCAGCTCCCTGGTCATTTCTATTCGCAAGGATGCTACGGCTAGCACAACACCTTCCTCGCGATGCGTATGCCGCTGTCTAATCCCTCCCCCACCTTCAACGGAGTCACCCCGTAGCACTGTGTTGCGAGCGGTGCTCGGCGCTGCACTGGTGGCACCCGAGTTTGGATACTGGATAGGCCTGGATTAAAGTCAATGCGCGATGTTTCGATTTTTTTTTTTTTTTTTTTGGTGAGGGGGGAATGCATTTACGCACCATACATAGCCCTAGCTACGGCGTGTGTGGGACTCAGGGTCTGAGGAGAGGCAACCTAATACCCACGAAACCCTAACCTCCGCGTGGCCCGACTCATCAGCGTCTTCGGTAGGGCATGTGTTGTGCGTGACCTGCCTGTCTGCTACAACGTCTCCTCATGTGTTTCAGTCTCTGGGAACGCCGGGTTGGTTCCCTTTACCTCGCACATTCTATCGATGTCGTTAAGCGATCATCGATAGAGGGTCTGCTGGTTCTCTTGAAACTCTTGTTTTCGAAAAATCAAGAGTTTCAAGTCCTCTTACCAATATGTTGTTCCTGGTCCTGGTCCTGAAGGGTCCTGGTCCTGGTGGGTCCTGGTCGTGGCGGGTCCTGGTCCTGGTTGGTCCTGGTCCCGGTGGGTCCTGGTCCCGGTGGTTCCTGGTCCTCTGCATCCACGCCGTGGGGGGGGGGAGCAACCGCGGGTCCTCCTAGTCGCCTAGTCAAGGTTCCAGTTAGCGGGTGCCAACTGGGACCTTGGTCTGGGGTACCTGGTTCTGCGGTTGCGAGGCCTCTCGTCCGGATCGTAGTCCATGAGGAATCGTAGCTGCTCGTTCGGGTGGTCCTGAGCTTTCTCGAAGGTCTTCTCCGCTTTTTTCCTCATGTACTCGTGGATGGTGTCCCAGTGCAGGTCTCTACGCAAGGTTGAGTTCCTTACGTAGATGGTGCACTGGTGGCGATCCGGAGTAGCTTCATCTCTAGAGCAGCAAGTCGCTTGCGGTAGCTGGGGGCAGCGTACCCCCAGACCGCGGAGGCGTAAGCGAGCTGAGGTCTGGCGACTGGCTTGATCAGCCGTAGCTTGGTCGCTAGCGGCATCCGGCTGTGTATACCCAGTAACGGGTAGAGTTGAGCCATGGCTGCTCTGGTCTTTGCGATGACAGCTTCTATGTGGGCTTTCCAGGTGAGGGACTTGTCAAATACGATCCCCAGATATTTGACATTGTCGCTCCACTGGATATCTTCGTCGAAGATGGATGCTTCGAGAGGTCTTGCAATCCTTCTTCGTTGAATGAAGATTGCCTGCGTCTTCTGGACGATGATGCGGATTTCCATTTCACGCACCAGTCCTGAATTTGGTCCAGTTCATCCTGTAGTCCTCCTACGGATGATCTCGGGTCGTCTATGCTTGGCGGCTATAGCAGTGTCGTCTGCATATAGGGTCAGCATTGTGTCAGCTGTCTTCGGCACATCGTGAGTATAGATGTTGTAGAGCAGAGGGGCTAAGGCTGACCCCTGGGGCACGCCTGCTTCCAGCTGACGTCTTGTTGAATGGCATGTACCAATCTTCACCGTGAACCATCTTTGTGTTAGATAGCTCTGGATCAGTTGGCACATGTTCGCATCGATTCCGGCGGCTTCCATTTTGGCGATGAGTCCATCGTGCCAAAACTCGGTCGAAGGCTCGTTCCACGTCCAGCAGGACGAGACCGGTTGCCTCCTGGAGATTGAAGCCGCTGGTGATGTTTTCCGTCAGTCGTAGCGCTTGGAGTTCCGTGTTGTGGGAGGATCTGAAGCCGAATTGCTCTGGGGGGAGAAGTTGCAGTTCTTCTGCCTGCTTCTCTAGTCGAACGGCGATAGCCTTTTCGACTACTTTGCCCATCGAGGAAACCAGGCTGATGGGCCGGTAGTTCTGGGGCAACTTCCGGTCCTTGCCTGGCTTGGTGAGCATTATCCTGGGCTTCCCGCCACCGCCGCGGGAAGTGGTTAAGTCTCAGGGTGGCATTGGCGATGTTGGTGAGCGCAGCAATGCCTTTGGTGGGAAGGTTCTTCAGCATCCTGTTGTTTGCCGTCCCTTCCCGGCGCCTTTCTGACCTTCAACCTGCGGATGATCAGACGGATTTCCTCTGGACTGGAGGGGTGATCCGTCTCCTGGCCAGGTGGTCGACTCCTCATGTTTCGGCTGCGACTTCCACGGCCTCCTCGTGGTTGTCGTCCTCGTCTTCATGGTAATTGAGTCTGCATTCGGATTCTAGCGAATCGGCGAATGCTTCGGCTTTTTCTCACTGGAGTAGGCCAAGCCGCGTTGGCCGTGAAGAGTGGGGATCGTGGTGCGCTGACGACGAAATTTTCGCTGCATAGACCAGGCCGTACCATCCTGGGTCTCTAGTTCTGCACAGGCTGCATTCCATCTGCTGTTTTGGAGTTCCGCGAGTGCGTTCTTCAGAGCTAACGATGCTCTGTTTCGCGCAACTCTCGACTCCTCTGTCAACAGCTGGAGATGTTCTCGCTTGAGTCTTCTGTTCTCCCTGATCAGGTGCCTAATATGGTGCGGTGCTGGACCATTTAGGTGTCTAGGAACTGCCGTAGTCTCGGAGCGGGTGCTGTCCTCGTGCGCTCGCAGGACAGCATTCTCCAGCTCCTCTACTGCGTTGTCCAGTTCCTCCGCTGATCGGATGGTTGGAATTTGAGTGATGTTCCTTGGACGTTGGATTTGTACAGGTTCCAGTTCGTCCGTTTGGTGCTCAAGCTATCTCGAGTTCTAGACCCTGTGCCAAGTGTTAGTAGAATCGGATTGTGGTCCGACGATCCTTCCACCAGGGTCTCTATCTCGAACTCCTCTCTGATGTTGCGGAGGATGGCTATGTCCAGTACCGCAGGTCGCCCAAGGCCGAATGGAATGTAGGTTGGTTGCTCCGGACCGACGATGACCCCCGCCAGGGCATCGACGTGTTCCTGGAGCTGCCTTGCATTCCTGTCTTCGACGTTGTTGTTCCATGCCGGAGACTTGCAGTTTAGATCTCCGATGACTATGCGTGCTCCTGGGCCTCTCAGGAGTCACGATGTCATCTTGGGGGGGGGGGGGGGGTAGGGGGGGGGGAGGGGGAGGGGACATTCTCTAGGGCCTCCCCTGGTGGCACATATAGGGAGGTGATTCTGTAGGGACGGTGGTTGTGATGGACCTGGACCGTGATTCCGTCCCCATTTATGTCTGCGGCATCGTCGAGGACATGACTCGTCAGGTACGTTTGACGAGTAATGCGACTCCTCCACCTCTGCCCCTTCTGTCGTAGCGGTACGTTCGTACCGCGGGAACGTCAGACTATGGGCAGCATCCAACTTCGTTTCTTGGATGGCCATCACCTCTGGTTGTACTGGTCTAGTATCTCCTGGATTTCTGGTTTCCGTGCCCTGAATCCGTTGATGTTCCAAGAGATAATGCGTAGAGATTCTACGTTTTGACCTGTAGACATTTCGGGTCTAGTGCTTGTCTTGCATCTTGGCCTCGAGTGCATCCAGGCGGGTTATGATGGCTTGCATCATTGCTAGCAGTCTGTCATCGCCGTGTTGCTTCTGCGCCGTAGTTCCAGTAGCAGTGGCGGCTGCTGGGGCAGAAGTTGACATAGGTTTCTTCACTTTTTGAGCGTAAGAAGTCCTATTTGTGGTGGGGACTGCTTTGGGGGCAGAAGCAGCTTTTTCGGGGCCTTACTACATCCCTTGTAGTTGGCGGGTGGCCTTCTCCACAGAGGCAACACTTGGCGTTTCGTTGCCCTGTTGGCGGCGCTGGCAGACTGCAGCTGGTGCTGTTGTGGTCCTCTCCACACTTAACGCACCGTTCAGCGAGACGGCAGTTCCGCTGTGTGTGCCCGTACCGCTGGCAGCGGTAGCATGGCTGGGCTCGGAAGACTTTTTCTTCCTCTCGAAGCTGACCGTGAGCATGGCCAGCCTCTGGATCTCTGCAAGCTTTTCCGGCATCTTCGTCTTGACGAGGAAGAGCGGAAGTGGCTTCTTTGTGGTCCTTGAGGTCAACTGCTGAAACCTCGGCGTCTACGATGCCTTGGCTCACCAGATCCTCTTTGATGTCATTGACTGACATCTCTCTGGGTAACCCACGAATGACCCTCTGGTCCATCCTGTCCTCCTTCAGTTGATAGGTGAAGAAGGGCCGCTTGATGGACTCCAGCATGCGACTAGCTGACGGTAGTCAGCTGGTGTATTTGTGAATACCTTCACACTGGTACCCCCGCCGTCCTCGCTTTGGAGAATTGAATCCCCTTGCTGTTCATCATCCTGCTTGGATGACCAATCAGCGCTGCGCTGCCCTCGATGTTTGATTGGCGGAACTCCTGTTCCTGCCATGGGGGGCCTCGGTGGTCTGGTTGCTCTAGGACCACTCTTCTTTGTGGCAGCTGGCATCTTTCGCTGCCTGGTTCTTCTTCTTCTTCTTCGAGGAAACTCGCACCCGCTTCCTCCGTCTGGTGGCGACACTGAAGTCGGTGTCGTCCGTCCTCTCCGGCTTCTTCTTCCTTCGGTCCTTCGGTCTGTTGAGTGCCCTCTTCTTGCGGCCCTCTCGTCCGATGTCGCCTGGTGGTCCTCTTCCTCCTCTTCTCCTGTCTTCTTGCGGCCTTCTTCTTGGCCCTGCGGAGCTTCCCGCTCAGGTCTTCAATCTCCTGTATGGCCTGCAAAGCTTCTTGCAGGTTTCGCATCTGCTCTTCCAGCATGGCGAAAGCATCCTCTTTCTTTCAGCTGGTTAGCCAGCTTCTCAATTTTTGCCATCGTAGATGGCAAACAAACAATCTATCGCAATGAAAATTGCAATAAGATTGCTCAATATGTCCGGGTGGGTCGCAGTCGCACAAGTGTATGCTCGTGACGGCTGCTAGCTCGGAACTGACTACAGGGTCGACAAAAAGGTTCGCCTATAAGTACCTGGCTTCGCCTCCCCACTACTACCAATAGCTCTGCACAGCGCGACCTTTTATATCCCATAACCTTAGCTACCGCTACCAGTAGATCTTATTCTTGCTTCTACCTTATTTTTTATTTAATAAACTCACGTATTTCTGTATTTCTCGTTACCGTTTTGCTTGCCTTCGGCGTTGGATAGAAAATTTCAGGCGTGATGAAAGGTGTTCTAACAGATTCTATAAGAGATACGAGATTATTTTACCAAACGTTAAGAATAAAAATTATTAGCTTTAATTTACGTAAACAATTATCAACTATGTATATTTCTTCATCAAACAATTTTCAAAATTCAATTTTTCAGATATAAACACATTTTAAGTATATTCATTGTCTTAAGCATGGGCGCCCAGTGGGGAAGGGGAGATGCCCCCCTGGATTGTGCTTCAATGAAATATTCTTAATAAGATACCAATCCTTGGCTAAGAAGTGGCGTGTGGGAACATCCCAATATAGAGATATGAATCGAATCCAAGCGAATAACCAAAATTTCTGTATTATGTACCGTGTTTGTAATATGGTT